AAGCATTAGTTTTGGTGTAACTGCAGTCTCGGGCAAGATTATCGTTATTGTGGTTATTCCACTCAACTGAATATTGCAACATTTTCATTATTCCTTTTTCCATTTTTATGCCACTGATTAGTCTCTGATTCTCCTAGTTATATTATCTTTAATTTGAAAAACGGCTTGACTCTTGATATATACATGCAATTTGAGTAGCATTAACTTTGAAGTGGCTTCAAGATAAGATCATGTTGCAAATTTATTGCTCTAAATGGCATACCCTGCTACCAATAGTGGAAGAACTATGTTGATGTTGAGAGGAGGCTAATAAATGGAAGTGTGAAATGCTTTATTCATTTGCAAATTGTAAATGTCCAATCTTCACACTAAAGTTTAGTCTAACTTGATTTTCTCATTTTTATTTGAGCAGGATATGTTGATCCAAGCATGCGAGCTGGGGCTGGCCTTTTCTTTTTCTAGTGATCATCTCTTATGCTCATTGCATCTTTTGCAAGGTTTTTGGTATCTCAAAGCAATAAGGTATGAACATGGCATGTTTAAAGATCATTTTTATTCTTTTATCATTATTTATACAAGGATGATAGCTTGAAATATATAACTAATATTGTGCCTAGGACTCTACAAAATAATGACTTCTTTTGCTATGCACATAGGGATCTGTCAAAATATTGCATCATTCTTAGATACCTTGGTCCAAGGAGTAATCTCGCATCAAGGGATCTATCAAAATATTGCATCTGTGGTGGTAAACTTGGAGGTTTTCCGCATAGAAATGCTTGCTCCACTGGTGATGTAAAAGTTCTTTGTTAATGGGGGCTCACCACATGAAGATGAACGCACGAAGATAAACGCTTGTTTGGCCTGGGGATAGAGATTCTTTAGAATTAACCAGCTACAAATGATTTTTGATATTAGTCTTTTTGGTTTTGGATTGTCATACTTTGGAAAGTATTTGTATTGTTGTATTAATATTTAATAAATTGACCTATTATTGTAATTTTTTGACTGATTATTATAAATAATTGTATTATATTTCATTAGATTTATTTGAATATTTTTTATGATTTGTGCTATTGTAATATTTTCTTTCTTTCAAATTTTACAAATATTTTGGGAAAAAATTAAAATGATCAATTTAACCACGGATGTTGTGAATCTTTTTTTGTAAAATTTTCCATGGGTAAATTTAAAGATGTAAAAGTGTTATATACGATCAACCACGATTATCTACGGATAAAATTTTCTATGGGTATTAATATTTTCCATGGTTAATACGTGGATAAAATTATCTACGGATTTCTCACGAAATATTTGTGGAAAAATTAACCATGAATTATCTACCACTATACCGTGGATAAGTCGTCATGTTTTTACTTAAAATCCACAAGAATTTGTACACGGTTTATCTACGAACAAATCTGTGGATAAATTATCCATGGAAGGAATGTTCTGTAGGAAAATGATTAGCAACGGAGCATATAACCACGTCTCAAGGTTCGTGGATAAATCCGTAGAAAATTATGTTACCCACGGACCGCAAGGCAAAATTAAACACAAAAACCTCCATGGGTAATTGATATTTTTCTTGTAGTGAATGAAGTGGGGAAATTCTGTAAGTTTCAGCTACTTGTTTTGAGAGAATATATGCTCCAAATCCTCGTTGTTTTTAGAGAACATCTCCTACGTAAGTAGAATGTATATTGTGGAGACAAAGGGAAAAACACCATGATGATGATGATGAAATACGATGCAACTTACAAGGCCGCATGATTTTTGTTTTTTTGAAACAATCTGTGGTTTAATAAAATAAAATAAAATAAAAAACTAAAAACAGAAGCAAACCAAAATGTTATCGCCATTGGAAAATTGGAAATGTTGGGTAAGGGATAGTCTAACGCTTCAGTCCTCCTGCTTCATGTGAGTTTCAAATTTGAAGATTTTTATAACTGACGAATCCTCTGTATTAATTCTATCCTTTCAACTTTCTTGTGTGTTAGATGACATTGGAAAAATTAATTAATAAAGATAATCAGCTTTAGTAAATGTAATAAAGATAATTGGTGGCTTTTATAACATTGTATACATGTAAATATTCTTTTAATTGAGTACTAGATGCTTGTTCCGGGCGAATGTCTGCGGTGTCGCCTCTTCTTTTAAATCGATTAAATAAAAAAATAAATCATCTTTAAAAGAATAAAAAACAGAAAAATAAAAAATCGATTAAAAGGACAGGAATTGAGTTACTACACATAAACCTACGCCGGGCAGTTAACTTATACCCAGATTTACATAACTCATAAACTAATATCTGCAACAGAAGAATAAAAAAACAAATCATACTTAAAAAATCAAATTTCCTTCAATGACAGCTTCTTTTTCCTCTGTTGTAGAAAGAGATGAATTGATAATTGATGTCAGATTTTAAATAGTTGATTTGTAGGCCCGGGTATGAGATATGAGCGAAATGGAAAAGATCATTTGAGATTGGGTGATAGTGTTGTTTCACTTGATTTAAGGAGATTTTCTGACATTTGATTTTATCAACTCAATATTATTGTTTTAAGAGATTACTATATGCCTATAATTAATGGATTTTTATGTAGATATAATTAAGGAATTTATTTATTTATTTATTTCATCTTTTTTTTTTTCTGGTTAGTTAGAGTGCCACATGTCAAAAATGATTTTGTACTGAAAATAACTTTTGGCAGGAAAATTTTTATTGTGGTGATGACACATACCTTTTCTGTTTGCTGCTTTAATTAAGTACTATAGATACTTAGTATTGTTGTATCCTTCATTAATATATCTTAGTATTGTTGTATCCTTCATTAATATATGTAATAAAATGCTGAACTAACCGATGAGTTCACTGTGTTTGATAAACCAATTCATCACTTAAAATTAATTGATTAAATGCTTAATTGATTGACATTGTTTGATAACACAATCTCATAATAACTTAATTGATTAAGAACTTAACTAATTAATGACTTAAATTTTATGTGTGTTTGATAACTCAAACTAGGATGTCTTAATAAATTAAGTGAGTCTTAAATACTAGTACAAATATAAGTCTAAAAATAAGTGATAGAGTAATTCTCACTTATGTCTGAATTAAATTATTGAGACGAATTCTTTTTCCTAATTATTTACTTTTATGTTTATAATTTGATGTTATCTTGAAATATTATTATTAATCTTGGTGCTTAGCTATAAATTATAGTTTATATAATTTTTTTTTATTTAATAAATATTTATTTTAATAAAATACAAATAAACTCCTTTATAAATATTTATTTACCATAAAGATACAATATTTTTCTGATAACGATAAAGATATAATATTATTATTGACTAGAAAAATAGTTACGTAATTAAATTTAAATATTTTTGTTGCATAATTTTATAATAGTACTATTACTTTTATTATCATAGTTTCATACATATTAATTTTTTTAGATAAATTAAAGGTCGAGATACTGTAAATTTCAGTTTTAAGATATTTTATTCAGTCTTTAGATTCTGATTTTTATCACACCAAACAAATTTATTTGATTCAGTACTTATGATTCAGTCTTCAGATTTCAGACCCGAATTAAGTTCTATCAAACGTGGCCTAAGTCTATGAAAACCATTGATTCTATCGTTTCAGTTGGTAATTGCTTCTTTTCTCTTCCCAAGTTAATTCATTCACTAGTTTTTTTTTTTTTTCGAACGACTACTAAAACCAGTGTTGTCATGCTCGACTTGGACTGACCAGTTGAACCAGTTAAACCGAAAATCGAACCCTAAGCCGAGCCGAGCAAGGCATGAAACCGCCAGAAAAACACTCGGTTAAACTCGGTCAGAACCCCGGTCGAATCAAAAACCGGATCAAACCGAGGTTTCAAATTTTTTTTACTTTTGACCAAACTTTTTCACGATTTCCCAGGATTTCAAGTTCCAACATCTTATTTCCAAGGCCAACTTTTCCTATCATACAATATACTAGAACAGCAGATCTTGAGGCAGGTATTCCCGCCCGTTTCCCCCTTCCTAGGACACGTGTCATGCTGTGGTTTATCTGTTTCCCGCCTAAACGTCCTCAGTCGGATTTGTCATTTTTTGGTTTTTTTAAATTTCTTGTTCCGTAATGAACCCTCCTAAATTATGATTTGTTTTCTTCTTTTGTCATTCTTTAACAACGTGGGTTCCGCTTTTGATACACCGTCTGAAAGCAGCTATTTCCTGCACGAGGATCACTTATTTTATATATTGCACTACTCCCCATGAATGTTGTTTCTGTTATTCTTTTAAACAGCAGATATTGTATAGTTGTGTTTCAAAAAAAGTGGTGCAAATTATTACAGTACAACATGATATATGAATCATGAAACAAAAAATTAAATTGTAATTAAAATTTGAAAGCATTGTTTAATACATCAGTATAATCTATATATAATAGTTGATATACATGAACTTGAAACACACATTTTTGAAGGGATTAAATCTTATTAAACGATGTAGGAAAATGGGGGCTAAATTCAGTATGTAGAACATTGACATGTGGTGTGGCTGATTTTGATTTGTAATTTTGAATTTGAATGATTAGTGTACATGATGATAAAATAAAAGAAGCAATATGAACCGCTGTGTATATGCTTAATCCGCAATATAAAGCAGATAAATATTAAAGCGGTTTGCATGGCATACCGAAATATGTACCACCGTTCAACCGCCTTTGGTACAACCAATGATTGCTGTATCCATATGCATGCGTCAGGAAGTGGTTTGGCCTAACCAATCATCATTTTGTGTATGGCTGGCCTAACCTATGCAGTCATCATTGGATCTATTGAAGCTAAGAAAATTTAAAATACCGTTTTCCCAACAATTTGTGAGGCCTAATAGATGGTGCTTTATGCAACCATCTATAAAAGGACTCTCGAATTGAAGGATGTAAACATTGTGTCCATGTACTGTATTCTTCAAACCAGTAAGCATTTTGTGTGACAATGGATGAAGAATACAGTACCCTCGATCTCATAAGTCCTCTGCAGGATAGTTGGAAGATAAGAGTTAGATTAATTTGTGTTTGGAAGAAGCCTCTGTTCTCGAATCCATCGGAGAGTGGGAGCATAGAGATGGTGTTAATGGACCATTTGGTATGTCTCATAAATGAATAATTGTATATAACTTGCACATATTATTGTTGTTTATAGTTTGCTATTTTTTTTTAGGAAAATAAGATTCATGCAACCGTGAAGAGGTCATTGATTGGTAACTTTATGGGGGTGATCAATGAAGGATCTTTTAAAATTAAAACGCAATTTGGAGTAGCATCAGATTGCGGTAATTTTAGAATAACCAGACATCCATACAAAATCAACTTTTCCAGGAACACACAAGTACGCCATTGTATCGATCTTGGAATTAGCCTTTACGGATTTAAATTCGCGTCTTTCTCCGATCTATTGGCTGGGAAACTTGATGAAACATGTACAATAGGTGAATTAATGTGATTAATCATTGAAAGTGTTTGGTGTTTTTTGTTATTATATGTTTATTAGATATGCTTTCTAACATTTACATCGATGTACGACAGATATTATTGGGGAAATTGTTACTGTCGGAGATTTGATTCATGGCGACAGGAATGGAAAGTCATCACGTTGGGTGACATTAGAAATGCAGGATTGCGAGTGTGTGAAATTTCTCTTGAAAACTTACTTATTTTTTTTCATTTTTAATTAATTACTTACACGTTGATGCCCTTTCTTGGTTGTTGTTGATGCATAGAGATGTTAAGCTGACCGTCACATTATGGGATGAGTACGCACAAATCGTAACAGATCACTTTGCAGGACGACCTGGTGGTTGTGTTGTCATGATTGTTCAATTTGCAAGAATACGTCCATGGAGAGTTAGGTTGCTATCTCTAGTTGTGTTGTAATGCAAAAAATAAAGTTTATGATATCAATGAACATATGCATTAATGAGTTTTTGTTGTGGATTATTCAACAGGAACAAATATGGTGACAAATTCTTTGTTCTCTACCCGACTTTTCATTGATTCAGAAATTGATGAAATTGTGGAGTATAAGTCGAGGTATTCATTGGTATTTTTTTGGTTCTTATATAAGAATGTAACATTATGTCATGAAACCACAAAATCGATTGAATATATCAGGATGGTGAATGCTTATGGGACCGATGATCCGAGTCGTGGGGTATCTTACCTTTGTACACGATCATCCATTTTTGAACCGGATGATTTTCTTACATTGAACCCAAAGAAACGAATTGATGAACTAGAGGATCTTAACAAGGTGAAAGTTGATAATATTATTTATTGCTTCGTATTCTGTATATTAATTCGTACTAACACAATTTCGTAGTGTTCCAGAGTTGTGTGGCTGTTGTGGTTGCTTCAATTGTTTCTATTGAACCCGAGTATGGTTGGTTTTATATTGCATGTATGAAATGCAATAAGAAAGTTAACCCAGCTGTGGAGGCGGTTGAGTTAGATGGTGGTGGTGTTCCTCTTCAGTCATATTACTATTGCAACAAGTGTGACAATAATGTTTCAGCTGTGGTGCCGAGGTGGTTATTGAAATTAGTTAACTGTGTACTCTTAATAAAAGATATGTTATTTTTCTTTTTTATAGTATATATATAGATATATATATATATATATATTTTGCAGATTCCGGGTTCAGGTAAGGGTACTTGATGATAGTAAAAGTGCATCCTTCCTGTTGTTTGATAAGGACGTTTACAAATGTATCCGAAAGACTGCGATGCATGTGAGGGAAGACCTGTTGAAGGTATATTCATAATCTAATCTGTTGTTTGGTTTGTATTTATAAACGTCGTTGAAATGGTATCTTTATGAAAATTGTTTCCTGCATAATCCCCTTTGATACCATGTCCATAAACCTATGTTGTTGCATAAACAGGTTGAAAGTGATACATCGAAGGTTGAAGGTGATAGGGCTAAGGTGCCAAAGGAGTTGGAGAGATTGATTGGTCAAAAGTTCATATTCAAAATTGAGGTCTCTGAATACAATATTGACAATAATTGGCCGGTTTACACAGTTTTACGGATGAGTAGTGAAATGTCAATAATAAATGCTTTTGAGAGTTGCTCGTCAGTAAATCAGGTTCGTGGTTTGTGTGTTTTACGCATAAACTATGATTTGGATTTTAAAGCATATTAGGTACATGGTAGAATTTTTTTTAAATGAGCAGGAAATTCTTCAAAATCCTAATATTTTGGTGGCCAGGATGTTGACGCTGATGTTGATACTTCTACTACAAAGAACACGAATATAACACCCCAAAGCTTGGCTGGGAAGGTAATAGCGAGACTATATTGCAATGGCAGTACTATGTGTAGACGATCATATATGTATTCACACGGGCAAATGTGGTTTTTCTATGACTAATGATCACACATCTATTTATAACTTATATTGTATCCAGGATTCAATAAATTCATGCACTGGAGAAGTTGATGCATGCACCGTCCAATTGTTGTCCACTGCAACTAGCCCTTTGAAAAGGACACTGCAATTTGATGAGGAAGATGCAACTGTTCAGTCATCTTCGACTAAAGCAAAGATTGAATTGAAGCTTGAAAAATCTTAGATTAGCATAGTCTGTAATTCGTACGAAATTAACTTCGTGGGGGTGACCCGTCAGTGATGTAGTACGTCCATGTGTTTTGGCGAACTGATTATACCATCAGTTCTTGGTGTTTTTTTCTTATGTAGTTTATCTAATTTTCGTTTAGTCATTCTATCTTCAGTTGGTGTGTTTGTGGAAGCTTGGTGATACTCGTCTTTTGAATTCGACTTTTGTTTTCATTAGTGACAAGTTGTTAAAAGTGTAGTAGTTTATCAAACTTTTTAGCCCTTTGATTTAATTGCGAAACATATATGGCTGCCTATATAAACTAAGTTATCTTGACATGTAATTAAATATATGATTAAAAAATAATCATATTATATACTTCATGCTTTTATACCGTTTCCAGATTCATGTTTCCAATACTATAAGTGAGTAATAACATATGAACAATGAGTAAAATCCTGAATTACATTAAGTAATTTTATCGTTCTCTTTTATATTTGTGACTAATATATTAAATGGGATGAATATACGGAAGGACAGAGAAAATAATTGGCAGATATGGTAAAATATCTTTTCCTATTCTAAAACTAATGTACAAAGACGTTTTTTTGAGTTTCCTACTTTAATTACGAGACGCAAATGAATTTGACATATAGTCTTCCTCCTTTAATTTTGTGACTCTTTGAATTTAACGTATACTTGTGCCTATATATATTGTTATTTCAGTCTCTTTGAAGTCAAGAGTTCAAGTTTTTTTGTGTATTGGTTTCTTTTCAACTCAAATAATTGATAAAATGTTTGATGAGATTCTTAGACGTCTTCAAGAGTTGGAACAACAATTGGTTGCACTGGATGAACGAGTGAAGGCCATCGAAGAAAATTGCTCCAAAATTATTACGGCGCGTGATGCTGATAACACCCGTGTTGACAACATAGAGGCACGAGTTGAATATATTGAGAATTTTCTGGGCTCATTCAACGGGTGACAGTGGCACAAGATTAGTTCGGATTAACATTTGGTTGTTTTCTTTCTTTTGCACTAGTTTGTGCCCGTCTTTGTGACTTGATTTAATAAATCTTTTCTATTTGTTGAATTATACACCTGTTTTTGTTGGTTACTTTCAAAACAAAGTGACTTGTTGTTTAAACAAATTGAGACACTGTTTGAAACTTTCTGTTCTAAATAGAGATTATTGCATATTACGGAAAATTCATTCATGATATCATATAAAAAATAAATACAGACACGATTACCTTCATTCATTGTCAGAAAACTGTACTTACTACGGAGAAAATAGAAAAAACAGAAAATTCTGGCCATTGTGTAATAATAAAGAGTGTGTGAATTGCACGCAATCATGAATCAATCGACAAAATCAGAACTAAATGGAAAACCAAATCCCTCGGATTGCTCAAAAGATGTATTGTTTGTAATGTTTGTGATAACAAAAATTATTCAGACTTTAAAAAAAATACTCAATTTGCAATAAATAATTATAAAAACAAGGTCAACCCCGTGGTAATGCTTGCACAGGGAAAACTGGAAACAAACTTTGTAAATATCACGTGAGTGATGATGTTTCACTGCCACCCCCTTTCTCCCACTCCCTGGTTCTTAATTAATCGATCGTTTCTCCTACTATGTGTAGTAGGCTAAAGGACGTACCCCTATTACCTTAGCTTTGAAACAGAAAAGTCTTACTTGAATCACTATGCTAATCTATACAAAAAAGGATGTACCAAGTGTCTATTCATGAATATCGATTCAATGTATGAATTACGAAACCCATCAGCAAATTAATGATTATAAGTATTTCTTTAATTGGTAACTAATCTCCTGGAACAAAGAAACATTCAGAATTAATTCCATACAAACTATCACCATTTTCCAATGTCGTAGTTTTTCTTTATAAGTGGTGTATATATTTTTTGGACAATTACGAATCTGCAAAATCGAAAAAAGAAAAATTTCAAACTGGGTATGAACTTGGAAAACGGAAATTAGAAGGTATTATGCATTAAACAGTGTTGGGGAATGGAGGAATAGACAGTATAGGAAAATGAAGACTAAATTGAGTAGTTACTGTATCTTGCATGACACCTCCATGTGGACGAAAAAACAAAACATAATCATGACGTAGGATACCCAGTTAATGTTAAACTGAATAACTCCACTTAATTTTCTTAAAAAATATATGCAACAATGGTGTGATAGGTTGAACATGTGACTGAATTCGTCCTTCATTTAAGACTTGTATATGAATACCTATTATTTTGGCTCAGCTTGAAGCAGGAGTCCAGGACTTGGACTCCCGCTTTATAGAAGAGGGAATTATTTAGCCTCAGCTTTGAAATAATCTAAACAAATTGGAAAATCGTACAGATTGTTAAAAAGTAATAATTAAAAAAAGTAAATCATAAATAATAGTTGCAGAGTCATGATGATAAGTAATTTTACAGTATTTTCGAATCTGATTGATCAGACATTTCAATAATTAACGTAAAATAGGGGTTTACAATTCCGTTAATTATTGTAACAATGGTGTGATAGGTTGAATGGTGTGATACGTTGAATATATGACTGAATTCGTCCTTCATTTAAGACTTGTATATGAATGCCTATTATTTTGGCTCAGCTTGAAGCAGGAGTCCAGGACTTGGATTCCCGCTTTATAGAAGAGGGAATTATTTAGCCTCAGCTTTGAAATAATCTAAACAACTTTGAAAATCGTACAGATTGTCAAAAAGTAATAATTATAAAAGTAAATCATAAATAATAGTTGCAGAGTCATGATGATAAGTAATTTTACGGTATTTTCGAATCCGATTGACCAGACGTTTCAATAATTAACTTAAAATAGGGGTTTACAATTCCGTTAATTTAATAAGGTACCCACTTTGTAATTAATTCCATTAATTACTCCATATTGTGTAGTCTATGGAAATGAATCATACATATAATATACATATACATTGCACACTGTTGGAAGTCCTCATCTTTAAAGTCGTGAAACGCAATATATATTATAGTTGTGTCAATGAGTACATCTAAAGGTCATCACGTTTCGTCTACAAAACAAAATCAAACTTCACCAACGGAAGCACAGATGGATGGAAATATTTATGCAATCATAAACTCGATGCAGACACGAATGCAGGCTCTCAAAGATGGTATCATGAGATCAAACCAAACTGTTGTAGCTCCATCAATAGCATAGAATACGATCTCAAACGCATGAAGAAATAGTTGAATGATTTGAAAAGAGCAGTTGATGCCCTAGAGGACAACGTTGATAAGTAGTCTGGCGGAGGATACATGATGGACTGGCCCGGCACTGGAGAAGATAGTGATTGAATCAACGTTGAAGCACAATTCCAGGGCTTTATTAATTTCATGATCAATTATTGTATTGTTTTTTTTTTTATATTTCTTGATGTCAACTAATATTTTTCTTTATAAAAAAAAGGAATATTTTTTTTATTAAGGTAATTAGTCTTCAAATAACTATATTTTCAGTATTTACAGTTTGTTTAGTTTTATCAATAATTTATGTAAATGAAATTACTATTTCACCAAGTTCTTTTATATATTTTGTGGATTGAAGTGACATAATATATCCAAAATAACAAAAGTCTGCAATAACATATTGTAGTTAATTATAAATGTAATGAACAAAAGATGAAGAAACTTTTACGATTACGTCTAAAAGAAGATTTGTTGTACTTTATATGAATCCGTAACTTTAGTTACAGTTGTTTGGGATTTTGGTCCTCATGAATAATTAAGAATATCGTAACTATGGAAGATTATTTTAGTCGGAAACTAAAAGTATGGTGTTAACCGGATCTTGATTGATTTAATGGTTGAATGGTGTATTAACTTTCATATATTAAGTTGTTATAATTAAATGCAACAATAATAATTTAAGGAAGTTTTTTTTATAATGCTTAAAAAATGAGTATAAACCAATCAAAAAGGAGAAACGGAAAAAAACTGTATGCAAACTGGTTAAATAGTTTGGGTTAACAATGATTGTTTAAATTATTTCATAGTTACCGATATGCCAATCAATATTCTTTTGTTGTACTTTATACGAATTTGTAACGTTAAATTCAGTTGTTGGGGATTTTGGGCCTCACGTATAAATAAGAATATGGTAACTATGGGATATTATATTAGTCGGAAAGTAAAAGTAGGGTGTTAATTGGTTCTTAATTGATTTTCTGGTTAGATGATTTGGGTTAACAATGATTTTTTAATTATTTCATAGTTACCCATTTGTCAACTAATTTACATTTGTTGTACTTTATATGAATCCGTAAGGTTAATTTCAGTTGTTGGGGATTTTGGGCCTCACGTATAATTAAGAATATCGTAACTAGGAAAGATTATATTAGTCGGAAACTAAAAGTATTGTGTTAACCGGTTCTTAATTGATTTTATGGTTAAATGGTTTGGGTTAACAATGATTTTTTGAATTAGTAATTCATAATTACCGATTAGCCAAGTAATTATTTGTTATTGATATTTTTGTTTAACTCGATAAAGTTTTAATGTAGTACAACACATTAAAGTATATATTCTAATCGGACCAAACAAAAATTACACCCGAGTTATGTGACAAATACTAATACCACTCAGAGCTGTAACGTCTTGACCGTTAGTCAATGGCATAATTGGCTCCATGTAGTGCAAAAAGGACCAAAAAATGTCTGCATAACATCAAAATACCATTTCCAATTAGTTTAAAAATTCTTCCCGACAAGTTCTATATTGGTTTTAATAGTAGTCGACAAATTAAAAACATGAATAGTGATGAAAGATTACTCTTCTTTGACAAATTATATCCTTCGCTTGATTACTACAACTACCATGTGAGTTAAGTTTTACCGGCCTCTTCTTACTTAACTCATTTCTTCACATATTAATGTCATTTGAAACCAAATCAAAATGTCATCATGTTGCATGCAATGGATGCCCATTATGTTTTGTTCATAGCTCTGATGCGTGCAAA